ATTTACCCTGTGGGCACCCCATCCATATGGAAAAGCATCTGATGTTATGAACCATTTATACATGTATACTAGGTGGATGAATATAAAACCCATTATATATAAACCTTAGATATCCACCATTCTATTTCCAAAAACATTGCCTGAATATGAATGATATCATTATCATAGCTGAAGATACAGTGTGACAGAAATATATTTTTCTGTTTGTCTAAATAATGGATAAATATAATGCAAGTATAATAGCAGTTCTACTAAAGGAACACTGACCAATAAATGATGGCTCATATGAATTAATAAATTTGAACTAAACAAAATTTCCTCAGCTATTATTTATTTTAGAAACTCTCTCATATGTCAACAAGCTTGATAACTTTCTGTATTAATTATGAAGCCTAAAATACTTTCTATATTAATTATGAAGCCAAAATTAAAAAAGCCTGTACATAGCAGATAAAGAATCATCTATAAAGTATGTACATATAATGTTCTGTTTCCTGAGCCAAGCAAACAAAGGTTTGAGAATTTTTGTAAAGATACATGTATGTGTAACTGAAGAAAGACCAAAAGGTAAACATGTAAACACATAAACATGATCTCGCCATTTGAAACGTAGATATATTCGATGATCAAGACAAACAGGAATCGAAAAATAAGTCTCTTTAATATCAATGGATGTTAAAAAATCGTTCCGTTTAATAGCCTTAGGGCAATTGCCAGTGTTTCCTGCTTAAACAGTTTTTTTTTTTTTTTAATAATAATAATAATAATATAACTGTATGCTGATGATACAGAATTGATGGCTTTCTTAAATATCATTTAAATGACTACCTCATCCATTAAAGACATCTGTTTATGATTAAAAGGCAGGCTATTTGGAATAGCCTTCAGAATAAATGAGTTGAATTAAAGTCAATCTTATAACCACTAACGATATTCACTGATCTGAGGTAATAGTGGCCCAGTAATATATAAATTTGTCCAGCATAAAATATTTATTACTTTCCAATGTCTAGTGGTAGTTTTGGCGAGGTAATCTGCCTCTCGCCCTGCTCCAGTTGGAGATGACAGCCCTTGAAGGGCCTGCCGGAACAATCCAGCCGGACAAAGTGTCAACAACAGGCCTTGTTGTTAAATATATTGGGTGCTACCTTTTGCTGCGATATTTCACAAGAAATAATCTATGCTTCAGAGACAACTCTAAATGGGCATTACCTAAGGTTATGATAGAATCTACAATAGAGGACTACCTCAGGGTCAATATTTTTATTTAAAAGAGGTATCAGAGGGCATAAACCCAGACATAACAGTTTTAGAACCTCCTGAAGATAACAATCCTGAGCCGCTTGGGGCAGGGCATGACAAATATCCTGGTCCAACAAAGGTGGCAACAATCTCTTGCATTTAACTGATAGAGGATAGTAGAATGTCAATTACTTTATCTCAACCCTTTTTATTGGTATCTTGGTTGATCACAGAATCATTAAAGACATCATCACCCTAAAAGATTTTGGGGATGTCAAACTTAGTTTCTTGTGTTTACTCCATGAATTCATCATACAAACTTTGAGGATCCATGATATCTAAACCTGATCCATTATTAGTTACCGGTACTTAAAATGTTATTGTATACTTTTTATCTTCATGATGTACTGATACCGCATCTTCAAAACCATGTGATGCAGGTCTATTAGCCGACCTAACAGACTGATGAACATCAATTACCATCAAGACTTTGATTTTAAGATGGATTGTTATATTTTCAATCAGTGAAGATTGGACATCAAGGAAACCTGGTTTTGAAGAAACTCAAATTCATTTTTATCTACTAAAATGCCACCACCTGAAAATATTACTTGCATTATGATTTAAGCCTATAGCAGTGGCCGTAACGGCTCATTTTGTCGTAACGACATTATTTGTTGCAGGCTTATTAATAACAACCTTTTTATTAGATCTACTTATATACTTATTATTACTACTAGTATAAGGGTAACCCTCTTTATTACTATTGTTAATATTATGTTAATAATCAGTACCGGTAATAATGCAAATTAATATTACTTTCACTATGATTCAAGCCTATACTATCCAGGGGCCGTAACGGCTCATTTTGTCGTAACGTCATTATAACGACATTATTTGTTGCAGGCTTCTTAATAACAACCTTTTTATTTGATCTACTAATTACTACTAATATAAGGGTAACCCTCTTTATTATTTTTAATATTATGTTAATAATCAGTACCGGTAATATAATGTTAACATTACGATCATCATTATCATCATTAATTTTTTTTTTTTTTCATTATGAACATGATCATATATCAATCAAATTCTGTCAACTCAACACAATTGAATTGGATAAAGTTACAAACCAACTATAATATTGGCGTTCAATTCTCGTTTATGAGATTTAAAGGCCTTTACAGACCTTTTAGCGGAAAATTTCCGTTATTACGCTCGTTTTTACCTATGGGTATGTTAAAAATGTTATTATCGAGTTCGGAATCGGAAGTATACCTCCATCATCGGACTGCTGTTGTAAACATCCGGTTTATTCTCGATTGTCCCACTCATGTGGAATATATTATAATCTCTTGTCTAAAAAAGCTGTATAATAATTACGACATTTAAATCTAGCAAGTTTGCGGTTACATTATGATCATTTAAAAGATCTGCCTCGCAGAATCCCTAAAAATCGCTTTCCTCCATATAAAGAGTGAAATTTAAAGTCAACACTTCGTGATGACCGCGACTAAAAACAAACAAAAATACGGTGAATCAGCGATTCTACCTCATACCTGTCGATGAAAACGAAGGTAGATAATATAAATGGACCTAAAAATACAGGTCCATGATAAAACATAAATGATTAACACACATTGAACACAATGGAAAGAAAATTTAAGAACATGATAACAGCGTTATCACGAACACACGAATGTGCTTGGTCTAGATCAAAAGAGAAAAAGACAATACTGAAAGTGTTGTGATCGTTTATATAGAGCGTGGTCACGTGGTCACATGTTTATACACGCCGATTCGGTGAGCTATTTTTTAGCATTTAAAGTTTGAGCGATTGTGCATGGTTTGAAAGAACAATGAGAAATATGCAATATAAATCCGAGATGCCCGAAGGGCATATATGGAATATAATGATTTTTATTAGAATATACACCCCGAACAGAGGATTGTCTAGATCAAAAAACAAAAAGACAACTAATGCCGAGTCTTACCTCGTAATTATAGTCAGGCGGATGTTGATACAGTACTGCACATGTAATTGTGCTATTTCTAGACTTTGAATGTTGAGTTAGTATACATATTTATTTAGACATATGCAATATAAATTGGAGATGCCCAAAGGGCATATAATGGAATATAATCTGAAACTAGGAGGAATTATAGTTTCTATAAATGCCCTAACTTCCATCTAGTACTTTAATATAATCTAGTTTTAATAGTAAGTTACCTATAATATATTAGACATGCTGTTGCCATGCAAGATACAGATATTTTGCAAGAGATGGACAGAGAACAAGTTGAAAAATGTGATTTGAGTTTCATCAAATTTCGATAAAAATTGTAAACCCTAGATGTTCCACAAGCTAAAAACACATATTGTCGCACAATCTGGGGTCATTATCCATAAATTTCGATCTTAAATGTGCAAATATCGAAAGGAACCGATGGACAAGTTTCATCAAAATCGGATACAAAAATCTACACCCTCTAGAGAGTCCACAACCTTGGTATTACATATTTTTACACTAATTGGGTACAGGGAGCGGCCATTTGGTCGGGCAGTTGGTCAGATTTTCACGACATTCAAACTCAACCGTCCTTATGGTGAAAGGGTGTTATATAAAAACATTTTTTAAATCAGATAAACATTTTGACATCTTGATGGACTAAAAATGCGATTTTACGTGCAATTAGGGGCCATAATCCAGGAAGTTATGGTCCAATCTGCGCAAATATCGACAGGAACCTACATCTTTGGGTTACTGGTATAAACATACATTTCAAGTTTAATTAAAATCAGATAAAAATTGTGACCTTTATAGGGTCCACTTGGTATACTTTCACTACAATTATTAACACATGCAACAATACCAAATCATGTCCTTTGTTTTTATTAAAGATGCATTATGTAAGAGGTAAATCTGCCTTATGAAGATCTTTCATTTGACCTCAATGTTATAAATCATTAATTAGACATTTATTCACCTGCCAAGGCCATAATCAACTCTCTAGCCCATCGGGTGGTTTAGAATATCAATAGATTTAAACACAATTGGCAGTTAATAATTTATTAACAAATGGTTGCCATGCAAGATATTTTGCGAAATGGGCAGAGAACAAGCTAAAAAAATTGTGATTTTTCGTACAACTAGGGGCCATAATCCAGGAAATGCGCGAATATCGAAAGGAACTGAGATCTTTGGGATATAAACATATATATTTATTTTTCGGGCAGTTTCGTTCCGAAATTCGAACTCAATCATTATCAGTTACATGTAGTAACGATAAAAATATTGAGGGTCCACAAGCTGAAAACGTAAACTTTCGTACAATCAGGGGCCATAATCCATGAAGTTACGGTCTGATACATGCTAATTTCAAAAGGAACCGAAATCTTTGGGATATAAAGCTATATTTCAAGTTTTGTCAAAATTAGATAGAAATTGTGACGTGTAGAGTGTCCACAAACATATTCTGGATGGACAGAAATCCAGACGGACAGGGGAGACGATAATATACATCCAAATGAAAATGTGGGTGTATAAAAATTGTTATCTCAAATGCGATTTTTTGTACAATCAGGGCCATAATCCATAAGGTTACAGTCCGATACATTGCAACGTTGAAAGGAACCACAACCTTTGGGTTATAAACATACATTTTAAGTTTTGTCAAAATTCGATAAAAATTGTGACCGGTAGAGTGTCCACAAACTGGGGTAACAGCAATATACGTGCACATTTAATTGTCTTTACCTCCATCAATAACTGTAATAGTGAAGTTCTGAACACCAATATCATTGTATACAGATACTATATAATCACCAAATAGAGTAGAGTTTAGAGTAATCTCTACTGTTGATTTATAGTTTATAGTTGATAGTTGTTGTGTTCTAGCTGTAATTATTATCTGTCTGGTAGGTGTATGGTACCAGGTGAAGGTTGGTTCAGGGTAGGCGATTATATCAACTCCTAGATTTATTGTTGCATCTATTCTATTAGTGATGTTTCTCTTGGTTTCTATGTTTTCTCTTGGAGAACCTGGAATATAGAAATACGATTATATCAACTTGTAGATGTATTGTTGTATTTATTCTATTAGTAATTAATGGGTCCCCTTGGTTTTCTTGTGGGGGACCTAAAATTAAGACAAGCGATCATTACATCATTATTCATACTGAGCTGACAATAATTCAAATCAAAGAACAATGTACAAAACAATGAATATACTAACCATGTAAACCTCCTCTAGGGGCCATGTTTTAACAATAAGAAGGAGTAGCCATACGTGTCCATGTGCACAACAATTTATTTGAACAAACTTTGGATTTGGAATTCAGATATTGGTAACCATAAGGCTTGTGGAAAGGAATTACATTTTTGCTTAGTCAGATTTGTATATATTTCATATTTCCGGGGTTGTACTTACATTTAACAAAGAGTGGAATAGTTTTAGATACAGGTTGACCAATATTATTACTAGCTGTACAGGTATAGTTATCTGTATGTTGACAACTAGCTTTAGATATGGTATATTGACTACCAGAATAGAGTTGTCCCCCTTGTTGTGATCTAGACCAGGATATTACTGAAGATGGAAGACTGTCAACTGAACAGTTGAAGGTTACAGTAGAATCTTCATCTTTCATGTTGTTGGTAGCATCAGATGTTAGACTTGTGATGGTTGGAGGATCTGAAATTAATGTAAATTTGTTGAATTAAATCTTAAAATAGTGGACAATCGGTGATATATGTATACATAGGTCCTTGGTTTTTCGTCCCATTCAAAATGACTAGACAACTGTTCTTGTTAGGCCCTCCGTCCTGCACCATTGACAAGTAGAAACCACGCTGGAAAATCCTGATCAACTTTCTCAGCCAATGCAGGTATCAAACACGCAACCTCCAGGCTAGCCACTATGGCTCCCACAATTTCTGAGACAAGGATTTTTACCAACTAAACTAATATTTACATTTAAAATGTGGTAGGTGCAATTAAACCAATGTTCATTTCAGATATAAAGGAATACTTTAGCCCTGTTCACACTTAGCCGCGATAAGTGTTCTGTTCTCGGCACAGTACCAGGCCACAGTGCTAAATCTGCCTTATGAAGATCTTTCGTTTGACCTCAATATTATATAAATCATTATTTAGACATTTATTCACCAGCCAAGCCCACAATCAACTCTCTAGACCATCAGCAGACCTGTCAACCCCTCAGAGCTGAAATGCAGTAGGGTAGTCTAAAAAATGCAGTAGAAACCATGATTTGGTCATAGATTTCCAAAACGCGTAAATTCGCACTTCCAAGGGTAATTAATTTAGGCCCAACAATACAAAAATTGCATTAAATGGGTAATAGATAAAATATAAGCAATGGTAACCATATCTAAATGTATTTATGTATATAAACCAAAATTGAAAGAAATAATTAGTAACGTAAAAAAATAATTAAAATTACCAGTTCAGTAGTACTGGAAGTACCACTTTTCTTTGGTTTTAACTAAGCATGATTTTGAAAATATCCTTGTGACGTGTTCCCCATTCCAGAGTTTTTAACAATATTGTTTCATGTAAGATAATTGGTGTGCTTATTAGATTCTATAGTATTTCTACATTAGGAATTTTAACCCTAAAAAAATAGTTTTGCATAACGACTAATGACAAAATATTGGTATCGATTTAATCATGCCCCCATCCCCATGGCGATTATCCCCTCAATGTATGGGATTTTTTAGATGCTGTAGGTACGCGCGCAAACGAAATTGTCAGCCATTGCTGCCGTAAATTGGTCGCGATTTGTTTAGTTTATCGCTACGCATTTTAAGAGTATTTGGAACACGTGCCAATAATTATATCCGCTTTATTAACTCTAAAATAGATTAAAAAGAATTTGAGAACAAATCTCTTTGCTAAATTACACCTTACAATGTCTCAAATCGATGTTGATAACCTAAAGTTGCGATCTTTATTGTTTACGTGCAAAGAGTTGTTTCCCTTAGTTCCATAGTTTTGGGGAGAAAATGCGGTAGAAAGCTAATACCGCGCAGTAGAGCGGTACATGAGGCCTTTTCGCGGCACATTACCGTGTGATGTGGTAGAGTTGACAGGTCTGATCATCAGGTGGTTTAGAATTTCAATGAATTTACACCCAATTGCCAATTAATAATGTAACTATTATTCAAGATAAGCCCACATTTGATCAAAATCGGATAAATATTCATTGTGACTTCTAGAGGGCCCACAAACCAGGGCTAGAAATTCATGCGAATCTCTGAATCTAATTCGCGCAAGAGCCTACGATTCGCGTAAAATTTTTCGAGTCCAACTGTTGAATGTTCTTAATCGGCTGTATTTTGTGGGGTTTAGCCGATTGACTTTTAATCTAGCCGATTGGTAAAACAATGAATCGGCCACATGGTATCATAAATCAATCTACTTATGGCTAATATTACAACGTGTTAATTATTACTTGTTAAATAAAGAAGTGTCGGCTACAACAACAGTCATACATTAGTGAGAATCTGCCATATGTGGTTCATAATCCGAGCAATTAGCTCATTTAACGGTGATTTTGACAATCCGGTAAAAAAAAAAAAAACACGCTTACTGATAATTCATAAAAGGTTCAGTAAAATACTCCACGTGGTGAATAAAGACGATCTCGGCATGGTTTGCCAATCGAGCGTCTTCTACACTCCGTCCGTGTGAAGTGCAGGTACAGGTAGATATTAAAATAATAACTGGATCATACATTGATGGAGAGAGAGAGAGAGAAATGGGGTTAAACGTCCACTCGACACAAATTAGGTCATTTCGGGACTAACATATGGTTTAATTTTATTTCAATAATTCGCTTGCGCGTAGGGGTCTTTAGCAGTGGGAGGAAACCGGAGGACCCGGAGAAAACCCACGAGGTTGGACAAGCGACCCTACTCCTTGCCACATACAACCCGGGATTCGAAACCACGCCAGTTGACTCAATGACAGACGTTATGATACAGCGCGCGCACGCTAACCATTCAGCCATCCAACCCCCCCATACATTGATGGATTTACTGACCAGTTGTTAGGTAAATTTAAATCTTCATTGAATATAATCCCCTGATAGAACACTGAATACACGGAAAGAGAAACAGTGGATATTTTCCCAACAGAATCTCGAATGCCGAAGACCAATGACACGTGACATATCAGTTGGAATTAGGTCAATAAACCAGTTCTAAATAGCGTTTACCGTTACGATTTTTAAATTTATACACATGCTGACAGAGACTTAATTTTAAAAATATTATTGAAGGCTATATCATAGTCGTACATATAATTTTATTTTATAGCAACTTTAGTTATGGTTGTCAAGTGATCATCAAGCCGTTTGTCTATCATCGACGAATAAATAAAAACTTTTGCATGTTACGTGATGGACAAAAGACTACAAATTGTGCTATGAAGAAATGCCATGGTGCTGTATCAGATTATTTTGACTACGCATTGTCTGGATATTTCTTTTGACACAATTTAAGTTTTTACCAAAAACTCTATCTGATTGTATTATTAGGGTTTCACACTGCGTAGCCAGTTAAGAGTATTATTAGGCTTCACACTGCGTAGCTTATGTGAAACACTATTGTTTTTGTTCGGATTCTTCTTATTATTATTATTTTTTTTTTTTTTTCCACTTGAGCATATCTCAGAAACTACTGGTCGGATCGATTCGATGTCTTCGGTTTTCCAGGGAAAGTGGGTGTGACTTAGAGATTAAAGCTATTTCGAACGTTCTGCGAAAATGTGAAATGTCTGAAATCGCCGAAGTTGTCGGTTTTTGAAATATTGCCATAATATTAACAATAATCGTTGGATTTTGACATTTGATACATTTTGACATAGCCAGAGACCATGCAGATTGCTACGATTCTTTAGATTTTTGATTTTCGACGAATCCTCTGAGATTTTTGGCGCCAAATTTTGAAAAATTAAATTTTAACAAAAAATTTTTTTATTTATGAATTTTTTTTTATGGCATTTTACCCAGTGTTAAAGGGTCGTCTGATTTGAGCAAAATGTGAACATTTTTTGGCTCGATAATTTTTCGTGTCCGCTATTGGCTAATTCAGTTTATTGGTTCTAGGTTAATTATTTATTGTCCGATTTTTATAAAACAAAGTTCATATGCTCCACGGTGCAAATTCTCAATTTTTTTATTACCGGTAAAGTTTTCTATTGGCACCGGATGTGACGCAATTCTGCTAAAAACTCTTTTCGATAGCAAATGTTAATTTTAGCAAATCTGATAGATCAAGATAAATGCTTCTGCAAAAGGCGCAAAATTTTTTTTAATTACGATTTTGTATTTGGGACATTTCGATTTAAAGGTAAAAAAAAGGTGAAAAAATGAGCTATTTACAACCCATTCAGGCTTTTCATATTTTAAAATATTTCTTCGTAACTTGCCCGTTGAAAATCGTCTATTTCTCCGCAACTGAACAAGGTAGAAACCATTTTGTGATATCTATATGATCGTATGGGTTCATTTTATTAGTTGATTTTAATCAAATATCAAAATTGTAATCAAATAACAAATACGGCTCATTTGAATAAATTATTTATTTCGAAGGCTATAAATACAGTTTTTGTCCAAATTACGTCATTTCCGGTGACATTGAAAATGTTAAATTGGTTTGAACTAGTCACAATTGACATTACGCATCAAATGGTGTCACTTTTATGAAAATCCAATGATAATTGACTCTTTTACAGGCAAACTAGCGCAAATAGTGACCCATGCAAAATTGCCCATTTTCTTGGAAACTGCTCATATTACAAACTAATTTTGAGATAGATTCTCTTCATATGGATTAATGCTACAAGTTTATGAAATTTACGAAGAAATATTTTAAAATATGAAAAGCCTGAATGGGTTCTAGTTCTTCTTATTATTATTATTTTTTTTTTTTTTCACTTGAGCATATCTCAGAAACTATTTGTCGGATCGACTTGATGTCTTCGGTTTTACTGAAAAAGTGGGTGTGACTTAGAGATTAAAGCTATTTCGAACTTTCTCTGACGATGCGAAATCTCCGAAATCACCGAAGTTGTCTTTTTTTGAAATATTGCCGTAATATTAACAATAATTGTCGAATTTTAACATTTGATACATTTTGACATAGCCTGAGACACGGTAAATAGCTACGATTATTTAGATTTTTGATTTTCGATTAATCTTCAAAGATATTAGGCACCAAATTTTGACAAAAAACTTTTTTATTCATGAATATTTTTTTTATGGTGCTTTACCCATAATTATAGGGTCATGTGATTTGAACAAAAATATGAAAAAATTTTGTATCGATAATTGAACTTTGCCGCTTTTGGCTAATTCAGTTGATGGGTTCTAGGTTAATTATTTATTGCTCGATTTGTATAAAACAAAGTTCATATGCTCAATGGTGCAAAGTCTCAACTTTTTTATTACCGATAAAGCTTTCTGTCAGCAGCGGAAATGACGTAATTTTGACCAAAACTACAATTTCGGCGGTTAGGTACGTCTTTTCGCAAGCAAATATTATTTTTTAAAAATAAGTAAAAAGTAAGAAGATGCGCCATGTAAAGGCGCAAAAAAAGTCGGAAGCAGTTTTTTTAATTTCGATTTCATTTTTGCGCCATTTCGATTTAAAGGTGAAAAACGGTGTAAA